GACTCCTCTGCTGGGATCCAGGTGTCCTGATGAAGGTGCTATCTGCACCAGGAGAGAGACGCACCCACATCCAGACACCTGCATGATGCGGCGGCCCAGGAACCTGCAGGAGCAGCTGTTCTACCACCAGACCATGCACTTGGCCAAATGTTCCCTCCAAGTGCAAAGAACCAACATTTCAGGGTTTCAGACTCTACACTGTGATGAAGTTCCAAGGAGCCCCCACTTCTCAAAGGTGGTGCAAGAAGAACACTTGCAGGCCGGGAGCCCAGGGAGAAGCAGTGACAACACCCCTCTCCAGGCACACACCTGCCTTGGGGCTGGTTGCTCCCCATACTTCAAGCACGACGTCGTGGGACGAGACTCCCGCAGCCGTGTAAGCCACACTTTAACGGCACCGCAACTCTTCTCAGTTATTTTTTATATGGAAAACAGTTATGCTTTTTCATTAATATGTTACTTATATTAATATATAATGGGTTTGTTATCTTAAAATAAGTCAATATTTTAGAATTTATGTAAATTATCAATAGACATAACCCACAAAAAAAGGAGCTCCTCAGGGTCTTCAACGATTCAGGTGTAAAGTGGTCCAGGGCCCAGAAGGGTTGAACATGTGGCCCTCCAGGACATGCCCCAGGTGGTTCTCACTGGTGCCATTTCAAGGCAGAACGTAGTTTTTCTTTTCAGTAAACAGAATGATGTAGTCACTGTGAGGCTTAAGGGTGCCTACAAATACTCTGCTATTATTTAAAGTGCGCCTAAATGCAATAAACACGACAGACAGTTGTCATCTTAGATACATGAAGCGCTCACACAGAGAGAAAAACCATCCCACAGCTGACCCACGTACAGTGCCACGAAGACACAGCAGAGGAGCACTGGTGGCTCACATGTCCCGGAAGCAGCTATAAGAGCCACCGGATGGCAGGAGGGCATGCGACTTGGGAATGTTGAGTTCTCTGGCGGTGGGAAGGCTGTCCTGGGGAGAGGGTGGGGTTCCACTGGGCAGGTCTGGGCCTGTGCCAGCCCACAGGGCTTGCCCAGACCGTGAATGGTGAGCAACCTGTCCAGACTCCATAGCTTCAAGGGCAGAATAAGGGACCATGGCTCCAGAATGCATCATCCTCACTGCCCCTGTGCCATGCATGGTTTAGTAAGAATATCTGATGTCCTAGGACAATGCTGCATTGTCACATTAGTGAAAAAGGCAGATATACAATTGTGTCTTTATACTTTGATATCTTTAAAGTTAATTACATTGTCAAAATTAAACTAAAAATTAGAAATTCACATCTAGCTAGGATGCACAGCAAGCCAGAGGCTTTTTGTTACCAATTTGGGTATCCAAGTTGCTGTCACTTGTCCGTAGGCTATCCTAGGAAACTGTCCACACCTGGGCTACAGGTTGTAGCTGGAGGGGATGCTGGGGGGATGTACAGACCACTGTCCCTGCTGTGAGGGCCTTGGACACCAGGGATCTCGACGGAACAACAGGGTGAGATGGGGAAAGCTGATTCTCAACTCTGCTCACTTCAAACAGCTGATGTGACCGCATGCTCTGTCTCAGTGAAAAGTCTGTTTTCCACAGAGAAACTGGAGTGGATGGGACTAATGCTATCATATCCTTTGTCCCCCCATCATTCTAAGCATATACTTAGAACTCTAACATTACAAGCACATGGAAGCACCATATGGCATTAAAGACCTTCACTAGGCCTGCATCCTGGGTACTGTCCCTGCTTGATGGGGTTGCAGGCACCATCTTGGATTCCAGAGGTGGGGCCCAGAAAGTTCTTTGTTGGGAGGCAGTGGCAGCCTGGGGTCCATCTAGCCACCTTCCCGCCTGCTCCCACTCTGCCTCCTGACTGTCACCCGAAATGGGTCGCTCTTGTGGTTGTTCTTGATGATGGCATAATCCAATGCCATGCCCTTAGTTAAGAACAAAAATCGAAGGCTCCACAAATGTCTGGAATATTAGCTCCTTTTCTAGCAAAATGACAGACAGCACTGAGTTATAATCTATCATGAGTGAAGTACTGTTAGTCCATGGATATCAGTCACAAACACCCTTGCACACAATAATGCAGCCACTCTCACTGTGGGCCAACGCAACGTCTTCTGGGGCTGAAGTGTGTGCACCAGTTCCCACACATGGGGAGCACTGTCCAGAAGGACGTTTCCAGAGTTCTGTGCTGGGAATGCTGTCTCCTCCCAGGGCCACCAGGTGCAGGGTCTGCCTGTGGAATGCTTGCTGCCCAGGGAAGGTCCTGCCCAGAGACGCTGCCAGGGAGCCTTGAACCACTCTGAGAAAGTAAGCTCACCTCCACCACGAGACAAGAATGGGCAACAGGCGACAGTGACCGAAGACGCACAGTGGCTCGACCAGTTTGCAATATGTTCACTCGAATGATGAGAGCAAAAAACATGGAATGATCCTGAAGACCCGGAGCCACAGCCAGAAGGGCAGTGAGCCCTGTACCCCCTGTGCCCAGCGTGCCCACAGCATGAGCACATGCAACCGCAGCTTCCTGAAGCTGAGGCAAACAGGCCTCAGTGAGGACACTCCTCATAGGCTCAGAGCCCCCGTGGCCTTGCAGAAAGTACTGGGAGGGCCCCAGTGTGGGGAGCTCAGATACATCCTGACAGATGCTGAAAGCCACAAGGAGCAGGGGGAGTTGAGATGGACACCCCACAACCTCTGACACATGGTTTTCACAAATGAAAACGTGGAGGACGAAACAAAGTCTCAGGCCTGTGGGAAGCAGCTAGCATGGAGGGTTCACTCTGGGAATCTCCCTGTGCACTGAGGAGCCAGTGGGTTGGAGCAGTGCTCCAGCAGGGTGGCCCCAAGGGCACCCCCCACCCTGTTCAACATAGACCTGTGTCTTGTAGCTGTCTCACCCTAACATGTGTGGCACAGCCATCCAGGAACAGCTTTTCTCTGAGTGGGACTGGGACCACCCACTACTCAGCTGGGCCAGGAGGCCTTGCCCGTAGCTTCTGGTAGCACCTGCAGGGACAGAGCTGAGGCAGGGCTCTGTGACCTCAGGAACCTCTTTCAAAGGGGACATGGATGGGGAAACCCCATTGTCTTCAGTGTCCTTCAACCCAGAGCTGTTGTGCAGCATACGGGAGCACTGGAGGCGAGCCAAACTCTGCTGGAACCCCGAAGCCAGAGAGCAGGCCTGGAGGTCAGTGTAGCAAGCAGCTTGCAGGTGTCATGGACTCACACTATCCCCTAGGCATCCTGGTGCTAGAAACAACAGCCACTCAGCCACTGAGGCTTGATGCATCTCTGGGTTTCCTCTGGGAATCTGCAAGTCCAGCAGCCAGACTTCAGGCCCAAGCATGGGGGCAGGACCTTGCAGGAAGATGGGTGCAGGTCCTGAGGTCATCTGGGACTTCCTGCACTGGCCTGCCATCTGCAGTGATGGAGTTGCCACCTGCCTTTTCCCAGGATGACACCAGTGTGCCCGGTGAGGAGACCAGGCAGTAGCACAAAACATGGCAGGATGCCTCAGCCAGCACCACCTTCCAGAAGGCTCCTCCCGACTCATTTGAAAACTTCCCCTGGACACCAAAGCACTCTGTCACTTTCAAGGTTCAGCCCACAGCACTGTTTCTGGCCTCACGAAAGACTGTCGCCAAGCAGTCTCAGGCAGTATCTGCTCAAGCTACCACCTCAGGTCCCCAGTGAGGGGCAAATTCCAGGTCCGCTTCCAACAGTGAGTGAGAGACAGCTCTATGCTGGCAACTGGGTGCATAGCAGTGCACACGAACACCCTCACCCATGCAAGGTGCATAGGTGGGGTGTTCGTGTGCACTGCTATGTACATACATATCCACTCACACGTGCACACTTGTCCACACACACCCACACACAACTCACACATGTTCCCACTCATGCACATATGTGCACACTCAAGTACATGAAGATACACCTATGTATACTCATACCTGTGACTCACACCTAAATACTCACATACATATCCATGTGATGCTCAAACCATAATGCACACTCCTATGCATGTGTACACCTGTACATACCTACACATAGACCCATGAGTACACACACGCATATACATGTGCATATGCACCTACATGTGTGCACTAACTCTAGTACAATACATATACACCCATGTCTGCATACTCAAACCCATGCACAAACATACTCAAACCCTTGCACACCCATGTGCATGTGGACACATTACATACACACATGTAAACTCACACACTGCATACACATGTGCACAAGTAGTCTATAATCCTCACCTACATCCTCCATACACATTCAAACTCATGCCATGCAGACACAGACACACATGCACGCGAGTAAATACACCTATGCACACGACCTCTAGACACATCCTTTACACATACCCATGTACATACACACACACACATCTGCACACACGTGCATAATATTACACTTGTGGACACACATTTTGCACACATACACATATTTGTGGGCATGCCTGGTGTCACATGGGAAGGTACCAAGCCATGCAACCACCATCTCTGATCACCACTCTGCATTTATCCAGCCTATACTCTTGTTCACACCGTCTCCACTGTTTGGAACAGTTCTCCAAATCCCACACGGCAGCCATCAGGGACTTTTAAGATACAGTAGAACCAAAGGGATAAGGCACATCTGTGTATCCCAGGCAATGGTGGGGAAATACATCTGGTGCATCTAGACACTGTGTGAGCAGAGAGCATGCAGACACACACGTACATGCATGCAAGCAGACACATCACCCACACAAGCATAGATAGGCACATAAACACAGAGATGCACCATACACACAGGCACACACAGGCATAGATGCACACATGGACACACAGATGCACATGTGTACACACAGATTCACGATGCACACAAGTACACATATGGGCAAAACAATCACTCACAGTGCACACAGACACACAGAAGATACACCAGGAAGAAGGCGGAAACAGCACCTGGTTTGTCTGGCAAGAGGAGCTTTTCTTACCTGGGAGGGAACGAGATGTCCAGTTCATACAGTCTGTCCTTAAAGACAGACAACTCTTTGTCAAATTCTAAGAGCTAAAAAAAGAAAAAGAAGAAAATAAGGTCACTTTGGTTTTGCTCATAGGGGCACATTGGTCTGTGTACAGTGGGACGCTCATAACTTCTTTTTTTGTTGCATTTAAAAAATTTTCTTATTTTAAAGATGTGGGATACAATTCAGGGTTAGGTACACATAAGTGGTCATCATACAGGTAAAGTGTGGATACTCTAATTGATGTGATGTGACCCCCTCCTCTCCTGGCAGTGTCCCACTACTGCCAATCCCTTTCTTACAGTATTGTGTTCAGGAGGATGCTTGTAACTTCTTGGGAAAATGCATGGCTTGAGCATTCAATGTGACATCTGCCCTTTCTAGAGTCACTAAGTCTGTTACCAGAAAGTTCTGTAGGTGCCACTGAGCTTTCTAGTTACCTCTGCTGCAGGCAGCAAGACCTGCACTGCCCACTGTTGACCAGCTCTTTCATTCCGAGACCTTCACAGGTGGCAGGGCATTCAGCCTTGGGCACCACCACTGTGGACTTGGCAGACGGGAAGAGAGGGCAGTTACCCTCTCTCCAGCACTCCTCCCTAGAGCTGGACTTGCTCACTCAGCAGAAAAGGCACAGCTCCTGTCCTGCCCAAGGCCTAGAGAGACTCAGGGTAAGCAATGCCAACTGTGCATGAGCAGGCCAGAAACGATGACCCCATGTTTGCACACAGGCAAGGTTCTGGCGGCAGCATGTGGGTGAGATGTTTGTTTGGTCCTGCAGAGGAGGGAGCACACAGCCCCGCCGCCCCCCACCAAGACTCTTTAGAGACAAAGCCTGAGAGGGTAGCACTTGTCTGAGGGAGCAGCCCCCATGCCACGCATCTGGGCCGTCACCCTGCGCACCCATTCAGATGCTGTTCATTAATCATGTCCCACCCGCAGCTGTGCAGGGCATGGCACTGCACAGGGCTCCAAGTCCACACCATGTCCTCGCCCCCTCCTGCCGCTTCATCCATCACTCCTGAAATGTGCAATGCGGAGCCTCAGGCATGCGGTCATTACGTGTGGGCCAGGCTGCTACCTGAGCTGCCTGCACGACCCTCCTGCCTGGAGGCACAGGCAGCTCAGCTTCCATGATACCAATAGTCCTGCTGTCTCCACAAGAGGTGGCGACGCTCCAGCCCCCCTTCAAGGGAGTGGCTCAGTCCAGGCCCACGGCTTCTGGAGTGACCCCATGTCAACGCCACAGTGGGGCAGGGGTGGAGCGGAAGCCTCTGGAGAGGGCTTTCCCCTTCAAGGGCAAAGCATGACCGTGGGCTCTGGACCAATCCTGTACTTAACACATGTGTGCATGGATTCACACGCTTACATGTCTGCATGCACTTGCAGATACATTTACATATATAGGCCTATAAACACGCATCCTACTTAGAGCATTGGGAGCTTGAACTTATGGCCTCGCCCCATGAGTGACGCAACAGTTGATTGAGTCCCCACAATTCCAGTGTGGGTCTAGCCGATTTCTCAGGCACTGAGATGAGGTGGCAATGTGGTGTAGAGCACCAGGCCTGGGCATGGCCCTTGCTAACATGCGAGTGGGCTGTGCAGGGAGGCTGCTGGCTTTAGTCAGGCCCCACCAAGTTGGACCCCCACCAGCAGGAAGCAGTGCAGGGCTCTGCCACTGCTGGCTGGGACTGACAGCCAGGCTTTTTCTGCAAGACCTGTGCAGGAGCATCCACGGGGACCACTGAGAGGAGGAAAGAACCACAGCCAAACACAGGTTTGACCAAAGTGCTGAGGGTAGCTTCCCTGAATCCCCTTGACACATTTTAAGGCTTCAGCGATGCACAGGCAGTGAAAGCACAGGGTCTCACCCTGTATCACCAACTCTTTTCACTTCTCCTAATTTAACTTCGGATTTGAAACAACCCCATGTACATTTTTACATTACTGCATATACATGTGTCCACAAAAAACAGCTCACCTTATTCAACATGATTTTAAACTCTGTACAAATGTGTAAACTTTACATTTGTATAACTTTATACAAATGTCCTTGGCCTGTCTCTCGTCTCCATCTCCTAAGGTGCACTAGTTCCTGGTTCTCTGCGAGAACCTGAGGTAGGGCCACGTCTCTCAGCCTCCACAGTGTAGAATGTCTTTGTTTTGGCAGGCATTAGTTGGCTGCTTATGGAATTCTAAGCCAGCAGTGTTTTCTGTTAGCTCTTCAATCAAATTACTCCATTATCTCTTGGTTTGTATTACTGTTTTTGTTCTGGAAGCCTTCTGCCAGTTTCATGTCTGTAGGGTAATCTGACATTTTTCTCATGTTGCTTTTAAAATCTTCTCTTTATATTTAATGTTCTGCTGTTTTGCTCTGATGTGTCTGTATGAATTTATTTTCACTTCTCCTGCTCAGAACTTACCATGTGTCTCAAGCACAGGCTTTATGTCTTGATAGTTCTGGAAAACATTCAGTCACTAACTCTCCAGATATGCCTCTTGAGAATGAACTCCCATTGGCTGGATGCTGGACCCTAGTCTGCCCTCCCTGCCTCTGACTACCCTGTTCACATTCTGTCATATGTTTCTGGGATGCACTCTGGGTTATTCCTCAGGTCTGTCATCCAGTTCATCAATCCTTTCTTCAGCTATGTCTATTCTCCCACTAAATTCATCCTGGGAGTTTTTAACTTCAATACCTGTATTTCTATGTTTTTTATTTTTTATTTTATTTTAAAATTTTTTTTGAGTTGGAGTCTCACTCTGTCGCCCAGACTGGAGTGCAGTGGCCACTCCCAGCCACCGCAGCCTCGACCTGCTGGGCTCCGGCGATCCTTCCGCCTCAGCCTTCCAAGTAGCCGGAACTACAGGCATGCATTACCATGCCTGGCTGATTTTTTGATTTATTGTAGAGATGAGGTCTCGCTGCCCAGGTGGGTCTCGAACCCGTGGGCTCAGGTAATCCACTCACCTCAGCCTCCCAAAGGCGCGGGATTACAGGCTGGGCCACCGAGCCCGGCTTCTATGTTTTTTAAATTGTTGGGATTATTTTTTCACAGTGTGGTACTTATGTTTATAATTCTTTCATATTTTTAATAATTTTAAATAATCTTATTTTGTAACTTTCAGCAATTATTCAATTATTTGACTTTTTTTTTTTAAAATTGTAGAGATGAGGTCTCGCGAAGTTGCCCAGGTGGGTCTCGAACCCGCGGGTTCAGGCAATCCACTCACCTCAGGCTCCCAAAGCGCAGGATTACAGGCTGAGCCACCGAGCCTGGCTTATTTAACATTCTTAAGGCCAATCTTTGTCTTTTGCAGTATCTTTGGATTCTTGTTTTTTGTGGAATGCTTCCTTATGTGTTTTGCAGTTCGAGATTATAAGTTCATCTTTAGTGGGTCTTGATTTGAGGGAATTTTTATAGTTATGATAATGAATGTGGGGCCCACCAGCCAATAAATTACAATCCAGTGGTAGAAAACAACATACAAGAGCTCTTAAAATGCAAATATTCAGAATTTCACCTCATAAGTTACAAGGTATTGGGATGAAGGCTTAATTCTCTTCCTTACTTTTCCTTACACTCTGAAGCAAACTCTGGGAACCTTGGACGTGATCCAGGCCTTACCTCCAGAGAAGGCTACAGGCAGAAGCCCTAGTCTCAGTAACCAGCCCTGGCCACAGTGACCAACTGTGGACAGCCCCGGCCACAGCAACTGACCTTGAATCGCCCCAGTCACAGTCCACAGGTCTTGTCTTGGCTCACCCTGTCATGATCTCTTAGGCACATGGCAGCCAAAGAGCACCTTCTAGAACCTCAGTCAGACCATGTGGCTGCCTTCTAGCATCAAAGGCTCTTACCTCACAGGGATGAACCTTTGTCTGGCCTCAGTTGCAGGAGGCTTGATCAGGCTGCCTGCCACTCCTAGGTCCCTGTGCCTGGCTGGCCTCCCACAGCTCTGAGTGCTGTGTGGCAAATGCTCACGGCCATCCTCCGTGAGCTTCCTGCAGGCACTCCCCAGGCAGTCTCCTCCTTCCTACCCCACTGCTGAGGGTGCTGACCCACCTGCTCATTTGTCCCCTGCCACCCTGTAAGCCCTGTGGCAGAGGTGTCTCTGTTTTGTTTACCCAGAGCACAGTCCAGCTTGTAGCAGGTACTTCATGAATGGTTGTCGTATGAATATATGACCCAACAGCTCAGTGCAGCATCTTTACTGTTTCTGATGTGTGGTTACATTTTCTTTTTTCCTTACATTAAGGTGCTGCCTCGATGAAACTCCAGTGAAACTTCAAAACCATAAAATGCAAGTTCAAAGCAGTCTCAGGTACCCTTGCCGCCCAGGAAAAGAAGGCATGCTGTGTTCCCAGACGCCCTGGGACTTCTACAGGGCACGCTGCAGAAGACAGGTCAAACTAGACATGGCACAGTGCCTGGTAGCACTGGACATTTTTAGTCTCAACCCAAAAAGCTTTACCTTGTTTTTGCCAATTGTGCCAGTACTTTATTTTATGCAAATTCTAAAACTCTCCAGAAATGAGAAACCATAGATGCCAAATTCCCCCTGAACGTGGTTTCTTCTCTCCACACTTACAATGAAAAAATTCTCTGCTGTATTCTGAGAGATCTTCCTCCCTAAACAAGCTACTGGTTGTGGACTAGGCCCTCAGTTTCTCAAACTCGAGAGTACATTAGACGAAAGGCTGTCTAGGAATGACAGGCCTGGACATGCAGATGAGAAACTGCAAGCACTCTTCTGCCTTAATCCTCGGAGCTGTAGGAGGGAAGGGCTCAGGCCTCATGAGCAAGCTGCACCATGGCCACCCCATACCATCGATGCATAGGGGAGCGGAGGTTCCTCTGGAAAGTGCCTCTTGCTTGTGTGAGCCGGGGGAGAATGCTGGTTCCTGGGGCTTCCAATGCCAAGTCCTTAGTGAGGTCAACCCAGATCTCGAGTTGACGTGAATAGCTTCTGTCAAACCTTCTGCAGTGACCCTGGAGCACTCACTGCTGTGGGGGGACAAAGCCCCTGGGCAGTACCAAAG